GGGGAACTCTGCAAAAAACGCATCTTCGCACGGGCAGCCCGTGCGTTGGCCATTTATTTCTTCTTCCTTACGCGCTGCGACCGTCATACTGACGAGGTCCAGTCGCAGAATGGAGTTAAGACGTATATGACTTAATGGACCGAAAAATCTTATCTCACTCTTACCATCAGTTTACATTACTACTTCCTCCTACACCTTTACACCCCGCCATCTGCACTTCCAGGATTGACCTGGAAGCTGCAACCTACTTGAAATGCTTACAAGCCGGCGCAGCTATGACAGGCGCTTCAATCCTAAGCTGCACACCTCAGTTAGTATCCAATCAGCTAGCCCGATGTATGTGCATTAATTTTTCTAAGGTTGCCAAAGTGGTCATTTACTTCTTCACGAACACTAATACGAATGTCCATCGGTGGTCCGCAAGATGTCCATCGAAATTTACATTCTCAAGTGATCACAGTGATATGATAGCAAACAGTTCCTTGCCGACCTTGGCAAAATTAAAAACAGACAATGCCATAACTTTTTAGTTTTCTGCGAGGAACTGATGCCACAAGAGGCAAATAACCGTCGAATGACGATGAATACAGCTAAGTTAGGCCCATACTTTACAGTGATCGACCGAAATTCAAAAGGTTCTCCAACTACCTAGCCAGCAACTTTTGCAGTTGCTTTGACCAGTGCTGCATTAGCCTGCTAATCCAGATGCTTACTTCGTCTTATTCATTGCTTAAGAAAAAAACAGGAAAAAAGTCCATGCGCGTCAAAAGCCCCCCAAACACAAAGTCGGAACATCTGCTTTTTGCTACAAGAAAAAATTTTAAAAAAAAAACATATTTTCGGAAAAAGAATAATTTCTTTCCAGAATCACAGCTCGAAACATACTTCGTCATCAGCGACATTTCCGCTGCTTGATCCAAGCTGCTCCGATTTCGTATCTTCAGCCGTATCCTCTAGCTCAGTCGTTTCCGCACAAGCACTGGTCACTACCATATCCGGTACCTCAGTGATGTCCGGGATATCTGGTGGTGATTCAGATGCGGACCTCATTTGAACATCACCAACTACGGCATCCCCGTCGCTTACTGCAATGTTTAGTATAATAACCGACCTAATAATATGAACTTCCAGAGGGGTTTCTTGACTGGGCTAGACGCCTTATAAATGTCTATAGACAAAAAAAGTTTGATATTGCCAAACTAGAACGCTGTGTTCTAAGATTTTGCTTCAGGA